AACCGGTGTATATTAACTTATATACCACCATAAAATGAAAAGGTTCCTCTTTCTTTCCCTTTCCTCATAAAGTTGAACACTGAACATTTTTTTTATTCTTCTTAAAACACCCCCTAAATTATTTTATCTATGATCTTAACTTCCTGCTTCTCTAAAGGGCAGAACCAGTCCTTGGGAGGGTGCTGGAGCAGGCAAACTTTCATTGTAACCACCAAGAGGCCAAGATTTATACCATCCCTCCCCTTTCCTAATCCTAACCTAACACAGTGCCCCAAACACATAGGTGTTTGTTCACAAAATGAATTTGGATGCCTCGGTTTTTACGAAAAAAAAAAATTAAAAAAATACAAGCCAATAAAGATTTTTGTCACAACAGAAACTAATACGTGAAATATATTAGGAATATGTTTACAAAAGAGTATGCGGCTCTCAAGTATAGGAAGTCCACAACATTGCTGAAACGTGTTTTGGTGGTAGGCTTGAGATAGAGGCTGAGGTTTGTGCTGTGAGATTCCCCCAGCAGGTGCAGTGTGGACATCCGTGGCAGCGTGTGGAATCACTGGCCTGGCTGAATCCATCTCGTGTTTACAAAGTTCGCACGAGCCTCAGGGTTTTGGCTAAGGCCAAAACAGCAAGCGAGAGGAGGGTTTCTCCCTTCTGGACTATCTGCCCTGCAGTAGATAACGATAAACATAACTGCCACCTTAGTATCATCGTAAGGCCAAAAGGCGCATGGCGTGAAAGTGACAAGTGTGCCCAGGACTGGGGATGATAGATAGCTTTGGCTCCAAAAAATGTAAGTGAATGTCTAGTTGAGAGTAGAGCGGGAAGTCTTTGTGAAAAGTTGTCTATAAAACTTCAGAAATAAGGTTGTAGGGAAAGATGTCCACACTTTTTCCTCACGGCCCAAACATAATTGTCAAAAAATGGGCTTTTTAGTATCAGTGAAGTAGTTTCTCAGTAGTCTTGCAGCTAGCTTGTTAAGCTCTAAAAGGTAGAATCCTAAACGTCACCAGTGTGGATTAATTGGGCATCTCATCTTTCATTGACCAGAATGACGGGGCATCTTTTTAGCAAATATCAAATGAATAAGTATATTACTATCAGTTGATATCCAAAATAAATGTGTAAAGCTCCCCACTTCTCAGAAAATACAAATGGAGGGGCGCCTGGGTGGCTCAGTCAGTTGAGCATCCGACTTTGGCTCAGGTCACGATCTCGAGTTCATGAGTTTGAGCCCCGTGTCAGGCTCTGTGCTGACAGCTCAGAACCTGGAGCCTGCTTCAGATTCTGTGTCTCCCTCTCTCTGACCCTCCCCCGTTCATGCTCTTTCTCTATCTCAAAAATAAATAAAAATTAAAAACAAAAATTGAAAACAAAACCCAAATGGAATAAAACAATTGGAATCACTAGTGAAAAGCATTAGTGCTCATCCAGTAGCCCCTTGCAAGATTCTGTTCATCAGTGAGTGTTTCTTGGGAGCCACCAATGTGCCGGCACCGCTCAGGCCTTTGCAGGGATGCGGGGGGAGTAGAGACCCCCAGAGGCGCTAACTCCAGTATTACTCGTCATACTCCTGAAGCTCGCGGTGCAATACGGCGTGTTCTCAGGCGCCAGTAGCTCCAGAAAGGTGATGATTTTTCTTACCCACTTTTTTTTTTTTAACTGCTTTTTACTTTGTAATGACCACTGTCATGTGACCAGTTTGGAACTGTACAGTTACCATTATACAGTGGAGAAGACAGGCGGACAGGCTCCTCATCTTAGGTGTCACTCCTTAGCTCTGCGACTTTGGACAACACGTATTTTATAAGATTTAACGTTGTCAGAAAATGTTTGGGTTTTATTTTTGTTTAAAGAATATCAGAATTGGGGCGCCTGGGTGACTCAGTTAAGCGTCTGACTCTTGATTTTAACTTGGGTCATGATCTCGCAGTTTGTGAGACTGAGCCCCACGTTGGGCTCTGTGCTGACATCGTGGAGCCTGCTTGGGATTCTCTCTCTGTCTCTGTCTCTGCCCCTCTCCCACTTGTGTGCACTGTCTCTTTCTCTCAAAATAAATAAGTAAGTATTTTTTAAAAAAAGAGTATCAGGGGACACCTGGGTGGCTCAGTCGGTTAAGGGTCCGACTTTGGCTCAGGCCATGACCTCACAGTTTGTGGGTTCAAGCCCTGTGTCGGTCTCTGTGCTGATAGCTCAGAGCCTGGGGCCTGCTTTGGTTTCTGTGTGTCTCTCTCTGTCCCTCCTCCACTCAAGCTCTCTGTCTCTCTCTCAAAATAAATAATCATTAAAAAAAAAAAAGAAAATATTTCTTAAAAAAAAAAAAGCAGAATGAATTGCTTTTATTGGAAGTTATGCTTTATATAGTCAGTAATAACTCCATGAGGGCAGGAACTATTTCTTTGTTCCCTGTAGTTCCTTGCATGTGATATAAACCCAGTGGAGAAAACATTACTCACCTGCCAGAGTTGTGATAATTAGTGAAAATATTTGTAATACAGCTATCTGGGGGCTGGGCACAGGGGTTCAGCAAAGGTTGGTTCATTTCCTTCCTACATGAAAGTTCCAAAACATAATCGAAATTTACTATTAATTTTAAAATGACACTAACAAGGGCATCTGGGTGGCTCAGCTGGTTGAACCTCTGACTTCACCTCAGGTCGTGATCTCATGGTTTGTGGGTTCAAACCCCACATTGGGCTTACTACTGTCAGCGGGGAGCCTGCTTTGGATCCTCTGTCTGCCTCTCTCTCTGCCCCTCCCACACTCGTGCTCTCTCTGCCTCAAAAATAAACAAACATTAGAAAAAAAGTCATGCGACAATAAATTTCATATTAAAAATAAATAAATAAATAATAAACATTAAAAATGAGAAAATGTTAAAAAAAGAAAAAAAGTGATGCTAACAATTTTTAATTACCTTTACTTCTTTTTTTTTTTTTAAAAATTTTTTTTTTTCAACGTTTATTTATTTTTGGGACAGAGAGAGACAGAGCATGAACAGGGGAGGGGCAGAGAGAGGGAGACACAGAATCGGAAACAGACTCCAGGCTCTGAGCCATCAGCCCAGAGCCCGACGCGGGGCTCGAACTCACGGACCGCGAGATCGTGACCTGGCTGAAGCCGGACGCTTAACCGAGTGCGCCACCCAGGCGCCCCTACCTTTACTTCTTAAATCAGGATTTTCACTTAAATTGTATGTTTCAAAGAAAGAGGCTATATGAAGGTTATTCTTCTGATAGAGTTAAGTATTTCCACAACAGAGATTTTCAAACTTTAGTGTGTATAAGAAAAAACTCAAGGAATTGTTTTAAATTTATATTCCTGGTTCTACCCTTGGATGTTCTGATTCTGCAGGTTTGGTAGGGCCCAGGAGCAGTTGATTAAGCTCCCGGGTGTCTAGGAGATCATATTACAAGAAATATTCTTCCAGAGAGCGTAACAGTCTAATTTGCTTAGTCAGTTGAGTTAGCCCATAGTTAGAGCTGACGAAGCTAAACTCGTTAAATCGTTGTATTGAGGTATAATTGACATACAGTGAGCTGCACATATTTAGAGTACACACTTAAATAAGTTTTGAAATATTCATACCCCCAAGAAACCTTCAGCATAACATAATGAACATATCCCTGCAAAATCTCCTTCTGTCCCTTTTTTAAAAGTTTATATATATGTATATTTATAATCTTTAATTCAAGTATAATTAATATATAGTATTGTATTTGTTTCAGGTTTACAAATGATTCAACAATTCTGTACGTTACTCAGTGCTCCTCATGATAAACATACTCTTAATCCTTCGTCTGTTTCACTCATTTCCCCACCTACCTCCCTCTGGCAACCACCAGTTTGTTCTCTGTAGTTAAGAGTCTGTTTTTCGTTTTTGTTGATCGCTTTTTGCTTTGTTCATTTGTTTCCTAAATTCCACGTATGAGGAAAACATACAATATTTGTCTTTCTCTGACTGACCTATTTCACGCAGCATTAAACCCTCTAGATCTATCCATGTTGGTGCAAATGGTAAGATTTCATTCTTTCTTATACCTAATACTCCATCGTGTATATTACCATATCTTCTTTATCCATTCTTCTATGGATGGACACTTGAGCTGCTTCCATATCTTGGTTATTGTAATTAATGCTGCAGTAAACACAGGGGTGTGTACATCTTTTCAAATTAGTGTTTTTGTTTTCTTTGAGTAAATGCCCAGTAGCAGAATTACTGGATCATATGGTAATTTTATTTTTCATTCTTTGAGGAACCTCCGTACTGTTTCCCACCACGGCTGTACCAGTTTGCATTCCCACCAGCAGTGCACGAGAGTTCCTTTCTATGCACATCCTCACCAACATTTGTTGTTTCTTGTGGGTTTTTTGTTTTTTGTTTTTTTTAGCTGTTCTGACAGGTGTGAGTCGATATCTCCTTGTGGTTTTGATTTGCATTTCCCTGATGATTAGTGATGTTGAGCATCTTTTCATGTGGCTGTTAGCCATCTGTATGCCTTCTTTACAAAAAAATGTCTGTTCATGTCCTCTGCCCATTTTTAAATTGGATTATTTGGTTTTTTGGTGTTGAGTTGTAGGAGTTCTTTATATATTTTGGATATTAACCCCATATTGGATACATCATTTGCAAATATCTTCTCCCATTCAGTAGGTTGTCTTTTAGTTTTGTTGATTATTTCCCTTGCTGCACAGAAGCTTTTTATTTTGATGTGGTCCCAATAGTTTATTGTTGCTTTTGTTTCCCTTGCCAGAGGAGGCATATCTAGAAAAATGTTTCTGACGTCAAAAGATTGCCGCCTGTGTTTTCTTCTAGGAATCTTGTTTGTTTATTCATTCACCTATTGATGAACAATTGGGTTATTTCTGGTTTTGAGCTATTGCATGTAAAGCTGCTATGAACGTGTTTACAGGTGTTTGTATCGATACGTTCAGAATTAAATTCATAAGATTTCATGCAAGTCTTAATACCTTTCTTCCTTCTGTTTTCATTGCAGAAGGTTATTGGATGGTACAGATTCCGGCGAAACACACAGCAGCAGATGTCATACAGAGAGCAGGTGATCCATAAGCAGCTCACCCGCATCCTTGGGGTGCCCGACCTCGTCTTCCTTCTCTTCAGCTTCATCTCTACCGCCAACAATTCCACTCATGCTTTAGAATATGTTCTCTTTAGGCCAAATCGAAGGTAAAGAAAGAATTCCCACCAGCCTCATGTAAACAGTAAAGATGTTGTGCAAATGATTGAGATTTATGACTTTGAAAATGTGCACATTATTGCATCTTTAAAGAAAAGCTTTTGGGGCGCCTGGGGGGCTCAGTCAGTTAAGCCTCCGACTTCGGCTCAGGTCAGGATCTCACAGTTCATGGGTTCGAGCCCCACGTCGGGCTCTGCATTGACAGCTCAGAGCCTGGAGCCTGCTTCAGACTCTGTGTCTCCCTCTCTGTCTCTCTGCCCCTCCTATGCTCATGCTCTGCCTCTGTCTCTTACAAAAAAAAAATAAATAAACATTAAAAAAAAAGAGCTTTTATAATTCTCTTTCAGCTAGCTTTCTTTGTAATGAGAGAAGGTATTTTCCTGTCAGTTTTATAAATTAAAATTGTTTTTGAATCAAGAAACATTAGCAAGATATGTTAATTATGCATAAATTCTTATAGGAATAAATAGCTGGAAATCATCATTTGCTTCTCTGTAATCCATTATGTAGAAATACAGTTTTACTGCTCTGGAAGCCTGTAATTTTAAAACCGATTTCAAAGAGAAAATTGTAAAATTGATCCACCTACTGGTTAATGAGGGTTTTGCATTGTGAACTTATGAAAGCAAAAAAAAAAAAAAAAAAATCATGATTATGATCTCTATCTGTAAATAACAGAAAGGTTTCTTTCTGGAAATTCACTTGTAAACTATATCACATCAACATTAGTGAAAATAATTGTTATTAATAAAAAAAATTCTTTTTTACTGTTTTTATTTATATTTGAGAGAGAAACCGAGCTTGAGCGGGGGAGGGGCAGAGAGACGGAGACAGAATCTGAAGCAGGCTCCAGGCTCTGAGCTGTCAGCACAGAGCCGGACGTGGGGCTCGAACCCACAAGCAGTGGGATCATGACCTGAACCGAAGTCGGATACTTAACCAACTGAGCCACCCAGGCGCCCCTAAATGTTTATTTATTTTTGAGAGAGAGAGAGCATGTGCAGGGAAGGGCAGAAAGAGGGAGACAGAGGATCCGAAGCCGACTCCTTGCTGACAGCAGGGAGTCCAGTATAGGGCTCGAACTCACGATCATGAGCTCATGACTTGAGCCAAAATCGGATGCTTGACCGACTGAGCTACTTACCCAGGTGCCCTTTGTGAAAACAATTATTAATTGTTAAATAGCCGTTTGCAAGATTTCATTAAGTAATCAGTGGGTATTTCCCAAGCTCTTAACAACAACCTCAGCGCTCTGCCAGTTGCTGTGGGGATGCAAAGGAGGTATGAGACGGGACCTCTGCTCTCAAGGAGTTTACAGTCGAGTTTCTACCAGCTCATATGTCCTTGGGTTGTAAAAATAGGTGCTCCGTGAGACCTTCTGGTAGTTCATCGGTGCCGAGACTCCCAACTCCTACTGCCAGGATCCATGGTTCAAGCAGAGCAGCGCCTTTGACATGGTCTTTCTCCATGCTTCCGCAGGTATAATCAAAGGATATCCCTTGCTATCCCCAATCTAGGCAATACTAGCCAGCAAGAGTACAAAGTTTCTTCAGTGCCAAATACTTCTCAGAGTTACGCCAAAGTTATCAAAGAGCATGGGTAAGTTGAAAGTAAAATGGAAGTGTTTTCCTTTCTTCTGTGAACAGCGTTTAACAGATTCATGGAGACAAGCGCGGTCAAGCTTGATGTGATTGAAGTGGAAAAATGCTGCTAGGTCGTCCTCTAGCCCACCACCGCCACGTGTCAGAATTTCATGCTTATCGAAAAGATAGTTTACCTTCACCGGTACTCTTGGTTTTAAACATTTGCCCCGGTGTTTTGTTGTCGTTGTTTTTGCAGTCGATATAGACGTTTTGAAAGAGTGCGCATATTTCTGAGGTTCCAAAGCTAAACGCGGTCACTGAAAAATGGGTAGCGTTTTATTACTTTGCAAGTTGTCTCGGTAACGTGGGTTCTTTTTTCGTTCTCTTCCGTGATTCTGGTGGCATGGGCGTTGCTGCTGAGACAGCCGCTTGGAACTGCAGCATTTACGTAACGAATTGAGGCGGAAGTGATAGGAAAATGCCTTTCCGGTCGTGATAATTTTGTGACGTCTCTTTCCTGTCTTCTAGTACTGACTTTTTTGACAAGGATGGAGTCATGAAAGACATCAGGGCGATTTATCAGGTGTATAATGCACTTCAGGAGAAAGTGCAGGTAACTCTCTATTTACTAGTTTTTTATCTTATTCATAATGCCCAAGTGCTTTTAATCCTACTTTAATTTTTAATCATCTCCCAACCGACAAATGAATCATGGTCCAAAAGTCAGAACGTGCTTTCCCCAAATAGTAGCAGATGTGTGGGGTAGTTACTCACGTCAGCCTACAAAAGGCTGTCTCATTATGCGCCTGAGAGTAGAGAGTCTGAAGTACGGTATTAGTATTACTGGTTTAAATACTTCTGACCCCGTTTATAACAGTGTTTTCTTTGGGGAAATACATTCCACGTTTAAAGGAGTGCTGAGAACACAGCTGTCTCCATCAGGACACTCGGAGTTGGGACCGCATCAAAGGGCGCCCGTGACCGGTACAGCCCTGTTCCTTCGCTCCGGTTCACTCGCTTCGCCCCCAGCTGCCTCCATCGAGTGGGAGGATCTCCCTGGAGCCTGTTCATTCCTAGTCATTCATGCAACAAGTATTTATGGCAACATCTCCTACAAGCCAGTGATTGAGCTAGGTGCTAACAGTACTTTCCCACGATCTTTTCATCATCCCCAGTGTGTTCCTAGGAGTAATCTGCTCTGAACCCTAAGGACAAAAGAGGCTCTGAGAACCAGAGGGGAAGTGGTGTGGCTGAAGAAGCTCTCCCAGACCTGGAGAAAGCCTAGCTTTGAGGAAGAAGCCCCAAGGAACAGCGAGGGGAGTGCAGGCAGCTACCGAAAAAGAGGGAAGCACACTGATCGGCTTGGGGCCAAAGCAGAAAGCACACACGACGCAGTTTCCAGCGTTAGTGTTCCAGAGTAGGGTCCCGGCCCACCTAGCAGCACAGGGAGCTTTATGCAGGCTCGCTGGTGACCGGCCTACTTTCTGGCAGTTTCTGGTATTTCTGCTATGGAAGGAACGTGCAGTGAAAAACAGCTTTTTGTCCTAAATTCATGACCGTGCTCTTTGCAGGCTGTCGGCACTGTCTGGCCGACCTCGGAGTGGCTGTTCTCACTTCACTGCCGACTGCATAAGGCCTGCTGTGCAGCCGCCAGTAACGCATCGGGTGCCTTGATGGGAGTAGCCGGGTGGCATAGGTGTAGACTCCCTGGCTGTCTTTATTAAGTCTCGACTCGAAACTTTTCCTCCCCGCTCTCCCTAATGATAAATCTTTTCTGTGAAATAAGTTTATTTGTGACATCTGATTTTTGATTGTTGGTTATAAATTAAAGTTGGAAGCCTCTCATTCCTGTCCTATCTGTTGTTCATCCTTTGGATGCTAGACTGGTACGCGAGGGAAAGAATCAAATCTTTCCCATCTTACCCTTATTTTTCAAGAGTCCGGAGGCTCAATAGCATCATCATCTTCACAGAATTAAGGAAGCAAGTCAGTGGATAACAGGACCTGTCCCTTGGGCCCTCCTGATCCCGCTCTGCCTCCCACATCTGCTTTGTGACTCGAGGCAGCGTCTGAGCTCTTCCTAGGGCTCCAGTCAGTGCTGTCTCCGTGGAACGCCTCGTGCTTGAATTTGAAACGGACTGTTCTGTTGTCATTTTTTCCCTCAGGCAGTGTGTGCAGATGTGGAAAAGAGCGAGCGAGTTGTTGCGTCTTGTCAGGCAGAAGTGAACAAATTGAGAAGACAAATCACTCAGAGGAAACATGAAAAGGAGCAAGAAAGAAGTGAGTTTCCCATTACTTTCACCATTTGGTATCAGGGAGACGTCTCGTTTCAAACGTCGAACCACACGATAAATCACGAGAACCCTTCCACACTCGTCCAGCCCCGCGTGAGGCTGATGGCGAGAGAGCGTTTGCTTGTCTCTGAGCTTTCCAGAAGAGAAGTACTGTTTCCCATGGTGTCCTTCCCAAGTCTCTGAAACCAAAAGAGGAGATTAAAAGGAGAAAGGCTGAAGCAAGTGAGAATAAATCGCAGGAAGGGGTTGCCGCAGACTTGTGTGCCTTGACCGCTATGGTCTGTTCATAGCAGACGTGAAGTTCCCGACTGAGTTAGTAACCCCGCACGCCTCCCGGGTGGGGATCATGTCCCGTGTTCATCATACCGCATAAAGGAGCGACCCAATATTCTTTTTTTTTTTAATTTTATTTTTTAAATTTACGTCCAAATTAGCGTATAGTGCAACAATGATTTTGGGAGTAGATTCCTTACTGCCCCTTACCCCTGTAGCCCATCCCCCCTCCCACAACCCCTCCAGCAATCCTCAGTTTGTTCTCCATATTTATGAGTCTCTTTTGTTTTGTCCCTCCCTGTTTTTATATTATTTTTGTTTCCCTTCCCTTACGTTCATCTGTTTTGTCTCTTAAAGTCCTCATAGGAGTGAAGTCCTATGATTTTTGTCTTTCTCTGAGTGACTAATTTCACTTAGCGTAATACCCTCCACGTGGTTCCATCCACGTAGTTGCCAATGGCAAGATTTCATTCTTTTTGATTGCCGAGTGATACTCCATTGTAGATATATACCACATCTTCTTTATCCATTCGTCCCTCGATGGACATTCGGGCCATTTCCATCCTTTGGCTATTGTCGATAGTGCCGCTCTAAACATGGGGGTACATGTGCCCCTTGCTGGGTCGTAGGGTAGTTCTGTTTTCAGTTTTTTGAGGAACCTCCATACTGTTTTCCAGAGTGGCTACACCAGCTTGCCTTCCCAGATCCAATATTCTTTTAACTTCACATTTGATTCATAGGATCACAACAAAAGCTGTAATGTCTGTTTTTTGGTAGCTGTGGATGAATGGATACAATTAGGCTAAGGGAACCAGCCGGTTGAATGAGAATTAGGCCTAAGAATCTATTGATTCCAGCATGGGAAGAGACATGTTTGCCATAGCATCACCACATTTAACATGTGTACATTAAACGTATAATCTTTTCTGACTTAAGAAGAATACTTGCAAACCGGGACATCTGGGTGGCTCAGTCGGTTAAGCGTCCGACTCTTGATTTCGGTTTAAGAGATCGAATCCCACATCAGGCTCTGCACTGACAGAGCAGAGCCTGCTTGGGATTCTCTCTCTCTCTGTCCCTCCCCCGCTTGGATGCACATTCTCCCAAAATAAGCAAATAAACTTAAAAAAAAAAAAGTAACTTAAAAAAAAATATTTGTAAACCAATTAAAAGGTAATTTATATTTCCAGGTAAGTGATACCTGATTCACATTTAGTGTTAACATTTTTTGAGAGATAATCAGAAATGCAGACAAGGATTTCTACACAAGAATAATAATCACAACTTTGTAACTCTAAAATCTTAGAAACAACCTATTGGAGTAGTCAAATAAATAGCAGTAGAATAATTGAATAAATTATGGCATATCTATATGGTGGAATATTGTACAGCCATTAAGGTGAATTTTTAATGACCTGGGATAATACCCACTATATTACCAGCATATTACCAGATAATACCCAGTAATGACCTGAGATAGTACCCAGAAAGCACTAGGATATAAAATGACATAAACGCACAATGTCAGCTATGTTTAAAATACACACACAGGGGCGCCTGGGTGGCTCAGTCGGTTGAGCGTCCGACT